TAACTCATCATCATTGAGTGATGAGTTAAATCCGTAGTCACCGACATTGGGCATATCTTTAAGTTTTGACCCATACATTGTACCATAGTCAACTTCATACATGTGTGCTGGAGGTTCGATGTGTATCGTATTTGTGGGAATTTCATCTACATCATCATTATCTGCTATGTTGAACTACGGTGATTCTGGCTGAATGAATAGTCCAGTCTCAGCACCATCCGCACCTCGCTCACAAAGAAGTTCTTCTGGGGGAGATGAGGGTTCCTCCATGATGTCGACATTTAGATCGAATAAGCTGGTAGTTGAATACCTTCCACTTGAACTTAAAGGAATCTCGACATTGAGATTGAAAAAGCCCTCAGTTGAATGTTTCCCCCTTAAACTTGAAGGCATCGTGTCAAATAGGTACTACACAGATTGTTGCGTCGAGGGTATCTCCATATTCAGGTCAAAGAAATTGGCAGATGAATGTTTTTCCCTTGAACTAGAAGCGATGTTGCCATACAGATTGTTTGTGGATTCACCTCGGTACATATCGTAACAAGTTGCTGATAAATATCTCCCCATTGAACTTGATGGGATCGTATCATGATGTGGATTTCCCATTAACGAGTTAAAATCATTACACATTACTTGAGTTGGGTTGTCAACTTGATCAGCTTGCTGAGTCAGCCCATAGTGGGAGCATATTGACATATCACAAATAACACACATTTCAATAAATATCGCATACAACTGTGTATTGGCGTCTGAATATTGATTATGAGAATCAACCATCATAGCAACATCATCATCGTCGGAGAGTTCGAATACTGTATAAGTTAACGGAAACACTGCGGTTGGAAATCTATACTGAAGTGAAGACAATCTTCTAATACTTCCAACATGAATATTCTTTGAAAATTTAGTTATCGATTCCTCAAGAGTGATGTTTCTCTTGAAGGATATTCTGACATAATGATTTGATGCGAAGACGACACCGATTTCATCTTTCTAAATTTCTCTATCATAGTAAACAATAGTTGAAATATGCGTAATTTTGAGAGTTTTAAAGACTGAGAGTCTTATATATGTAAAAAATAATAGCTAAAATACGACTAAATGAATAAATAATATATGAATTAAAATATAAACTAATCCAAATAAATTTAAAAAATTTCACAATAACTTAAATAACATAATTTCTTATTGTTATCGTATCAGCAAAATATCTCGAGGTATTATCTCACTTTCCAATTTTACAACCGCAAAAAATTATACAAAATAATTAGTAAAATAAAATTTATTCAAATAATTAAATATAAAATAAATATAATATAATAAAATAATTTTACCTTATAAAAAATAAAATCTATTTAGTTTGATAGAATGAATTTATAGAAGCGAGAATAAGCAAATAATTTTAGTTTGGTGATGTTTGCATTCAGAGGAGTTTTTATTTATAAGGAAAGAGAGGGTTTAAAATTCGAGCTTTCAGGCTCGTGTAATTATGGAGTATCAATAATTCAATGTGCATAATGGATGACAATTCACGCTTTATTACCATTGTAAGAAAGAATGCTATATCAGTAATATTAGAGGTAAGGGTGTTTGACAGCTAATTATTGGTGGTTCAGGTGATATTTCGGCAAAAAGCCCAAAATTAACAACCTGACAGGTCTGTGTCTCTATCTAGCACCGCCTTTGCTTCCGAAATCCAAAATCTTTCTTTGCCCTAATTAAAAAGCCCTATTCATTCAAATTCACCGATTTCCCTTCCAACCAATCCAAGAAATATATCCATCTTAATCCCTTCCAATTCAATCCAAGAATTTGGCTTTTTTTTTTTGTTTTTTTCCTTTCGAAATGGATTCGAGCAGACGAGCGGTGGAATCTTATTGGAGATCGCGGATGATCGATGGGGCTACTTCGGATGAAGACAAAGTAACACCCGTTTATAAGTTAGAAGAGATCTGCGAGCTCTTGAGATCGTCTCATGTTAGTATCGTTAAAGAGGTCTCCGGGTTTATATTGAAACGACTCGATCACAAAAGCCCCGTCGTCAAAACATCGGGTAGAGAGGTCTCTCTTAAACAGATATTGGGCTCCTATTTAATTTCGGGTTGGACTTAGGCTTGTTTAATAGACCGCTTAACCTTGCAGGTGTTTTCATGGGATTAGCTAAATGAATGGGTTACAATTGTCCGTCCAGCTCAGTTGGTAGAGCGCAAGACTCTTAATCTTGTGGTCGTAGGATTGAGTCTCACGGTGGGCACTTCATAATTGCCGGAGATCTTCCACGGAAGTTACTCTCAACCTAGCGTTGGGGGCAACCTACTACCCTACCTCCCCCTTACCCCATTACATATGGGAATAAGGCCAGCTAATTAATGGGTTACGAAAACTCAAATTTGTGCTAGTTTTGTACATAGTATGAGAGTGGAACAAATCTTTAAGGTCATTGAAGCCAAAGCTTCTTCAACTTCGAAATAATATCAAGTTCCGATGGTATCATGAGCTTCCTCCTGGATCCGATTGACAAATTTCTATGTGGAGTTTCCAACACACGTTCACCAATGTGGTTTCAAGAGAATATCTCTGGAGATGTGATCTAAAACACTTGATATCTCTTGAGAAGTCGCGACCTCTTGATATGATATCTAATAGATTCATTTGATCTATTATAGCTAAATCTACTATCAACCGACCATATATATTAAGACTATCAACTTACGAATAGCTATCATGATCCTACAACTGACTTCATATCTAACAGACTCACGTGACATACTATAGTCAATCGATTATACCCCTATAAATGAAATAATCAATAACACACCCAACCTCTTCCTAAAAACCTCTGCGATGTTCGTGTTTTTTCCGGCCAATATTTGTAGACCGAGATGTAAAACTTGCATTTATAGTCGAAGATCCCTCGGAGGACGATGTAGATAACTTGACGTGCTCTTCTCACTCATTTTACTCTTCATATAAGCGCCACAAACGAGAAGGCAACGTCTATATGCTGATGATGAAACTTTGAATAGGACAAAAGAGGGCAAAGAGAGTGGATTGGAAGCCCAAGAGGGTGAAGGGAGTACGAGGGAGACGTGGACATGTGATGAATGGCAAAGCCTGACAAAACATCGACACTTGGGGGTTTGAGACATTGCAAGGGACACTTGTTTACGTTTGTTTTGTAATCTACTTTCAACCAACAAAGCCGGACCCATCCTCATTTGGACCCTTTTCCCATTGTTGTTGCTCTATTTCACCAACTTATAACTGTTGGGTTAACATGTAAACCCACTCCAAAGATTTGACATTTAAAGAAAAGATTCCATGTTTTTAAATACACATTGATGTGGTACCAAATCAGTATTATCAGATCGAAATTTGTCTTTAATATTACTTAATAACTTCTTCATACACATCAATTAAGTCCATCAATTTTTGATGACTCGATATTAATGAACATCCAATTATGAGGTTGAGAAACTAATTTACAAATCTTTTTAGAGATTTGATCAATTAAGTCAATCAATTTTTAAAGACTCGATATTGGGTCGTGTCTTTTTAGAGTTCTATACAAAATAACATAATAAGAAGTGAGATCAACTTTTTTATAAGTAAATTCAACTCTTATTTAATTGAAAAATGATTAAATACACAAAGACTCGAACTTGAGACTTTACTTAAGCGTTATCAAACTGTTTACCATTTGAACCTGTTGGTGTTACTCATATTCTTAGAACCTTCAACATATTATCATATTTTGAATCTCATTATATATTAGAATTTTAAATTTCGATGAGAATTTTTAAAATTTATAACCTTAGATTTTAGAGTGAAAATGTGAATGCCATTTATTAGGTGAAAAATTTGAATTAGAATTTATTTAATACTTACGAATGTATATATCGTTCACGAGGGTGTAAATAAATATTTTTTTATGTAATATATAAATTATTTTAATTTATAAGCTCTTAAATAAATATGTTATTTACTTAGATCCGTTCAAATTCATGTCTTCTTTAATAATATAATCATAGTCATACTTCAAATAAGATTGAACCTATCGATGCAAGTATCTTAAAAATGAATTTCTAGGATTACACATTAATTGATCTTAGAAAAATAAAGAGACAAATAACATTAAATCTCATGTTAGAAGGCAAAGGTTATTGAATTTTATAAAATCCATCTCTTTGTAAAATTTTAGAAATTCGTCCCTAACATAAAATCTTATATCCATCCATAATTATTGATATCATAGTGAAATGACCTTAATTTGAGGGTGGATGGCAGTTTGACACCCTGAATGTGGGATGGGGATTGTGACATATGTTTCTGATTCCAAAGCTATCAATTGCAAGGGTGTTCAAGTCTAAGTTTTAGTTGAATTAATTGATCGAATCGAATTTATTCGGTTAAACGGTTAATCATCGAAATTAGTTCAGTCGAGAAACAAATGATTTTTTCAATATAGGTTAATAGTTATGATTCGAAATCAATTAATTAATTGAATTAATAAAAATATATTAAATACATATTTTAAACTAAAACTCATCAAGGATTAAAACCCAACTATCTTTTAACTACATGAGACCAATTAAATTTTAACTCGAATAAAAAAAAAACACTTATAGTAAACACAAATTAATCTAGCTAAAAAAATTATAAAAAATTTAATGGTATTGAAGAGTTTGAGGTAATGTTAGTGACCGTTTCATTAGTTTTGAAATTTCAGTGCTGAAATAAAAAAATTATTTATACTTCAGTGACCACTAATGTAGTTTACACTTTAACATAGTAACCATTTTCAATACCAATTTTATTTGTCCTTTTTTGATCAATGAGATTAGATTTGATGTTAAAACATATTTATTATAAATTCAAAACTTATTTAAATCTTACAAAGTGTGTATCTAATCTGATTTATATTGTAATTATTCAAGGTTACTTCAACAGGTGTTTTTTTTAAAGAAAAAAGGTTGCTTTTTCACCATGATTTTTCGCAATTTCTAATGGCCAAAAGTCTTGTAGATCCTCGCATTTCAACTCCGTAGTCTTTTACAATTGCAATTACAACAGAATCTGCAATACTTCCCCTTCTAAGGGACATTTATTGTTCAGGCATACCCTCTTTCCTTTGTTATGGAACATGATCAAACAATCAGGTAATAGAACAAAGGACCTGCGATTGACTGAGCACACATTTTCTCCTAATATCCAAACATGTATTCCATGACTTTGGTCCCCAGTGATTTCGTAGGGATTGCGATAGCTGTGCCTCCTGAATGGCGCGCATTGGAATTGCCATTTTGAAGATAGTAAGGGCGAGACAGCCGGAAATTGTTCAGCTCTGATGTTCTACTCGATGGTGGGGGCAGAGTCATGAATCCCTGATTGGTCACTCTTTCATTTAGGGCTTCACGTTGCATTGGATCCACTTGCTTCACACCAACGATTAGTGCCCCGTTAATTTGCATTCCGTTCTTTCTGAGAGCCTTCTGAGCATCAGACCGATTCTGCACCAGGAAGAAAGCAAACAGTTATATTTCGGGTTTCAGCAAAATCCATTCAGATATTTAGCCTATAACATTCCCGCTAGAACAAAGGAGATGATATATGTTTTAGATTCAACAGACATGTTGCAACTCGGACAACATAGAAATCTGGTTTTGAACTTGTTTTTCAGTCTACAGTTATCTTCTTCTGTATTAATCTCCAACTGGATTACATTCTTTTATCTTCATGATGTGTATTGATTTGGCAAGCATGGATCGAATGCAACAAATAAAGAACATGACATTAAAAACACAAATCTGCAATAATGGACCATAAAGATAGATAAGCAGAGCAGATTAAAACTTGTATTGGGAGAAAATAAGATTCACCAGATAAAGAACGTGCATCCAGTTGGCATCCCTTGGACCAGGAACATGCTTCAATATCACTCCACACTTTTCGAACTCTCGCAATACTAAATTTGTATCAGAGGGAGAAAATCTGGAAAGAAGCAAATATTTAAGTCATAGGTCTTGCATGGATATAAGAGCATGATCATACCATGAGTCTAACCCAACACATTGTTCTATTAAAAGAGAGAAACATGAAGAGATGTACCAAATCACCAATGAGGTGAAAAGGTTCAAATCTCAGCAGAGCTATATATCATCTAAATAATTACATTTTAACCAGGCATAAACGGGTCAAATTATGGCAATGTGAAAATGATAGAAAGGGGGCCAAAATGCAGAGAAGTGATCGGTCAAATAAATAAAAGCAAAAGTTAATCTAGCAGAATGAGGCACCAACACTACAAAACACAACAGAGGTCCACAAGACAAACATGTCAATTATTCAGTACAACATGAAAGTAAGGCGAAGCGTACCCATAAACTGTAACCCATTCTTCCTCATCCAGATTGCCTGTGGGTACAGAATTCCTTTGTATCTCAGGCCTAGCAACCTCCCTTGGAGGCGGAAGTGTGATCAAAGCGCCATGCTGAACCACACCCTCGACAGGAGAACCCTTTCCCTTCTCGTCCTGCTCACTACCACTTCTCGTTGTGGGTGACCACCAACTCGGACTCGTTGAGTTCTGCTGCCCATTAAGCACAGCAAATGAAGTGCTTGCCCCCGAGTTGATCTTTGCCGGAGTTGAAAAGTCACGTCCAGAACTTTTAACTGGACTTCTTGGGTCTGACTTGATTTTGGGAGACATAGGGTAATCCGGTATCCCAACTTCAGGAGAAAAATCCGATCGATCCTCCAAGGTGTACATAGGAGGAGGTGGAAGATCTGAACATCCAAAATTCTCCTCCCATAAAGCTAAGACGGCAGCTGCTTGACCCGGACTAGAGAACTTCCCTCTACGGGCAGAGACAGGTGATGCTAAATCCTGGAAAAACAATGACTTTCTCCCCGATTTTGGAGTTGTATGAACCGCATTGCTCATTTCCTTTTGATAATCTGAGCACTTGACAAGAGAGTTCTGTATGCATATCAAGTCATTAGCTTTAACAAAACTTGATACACCAACTTAACTAGCCTATCTTTGATTCATTTTCAGTAAGCTTTATTATTTTTTCTTCAATTTCCCACACATACCATTTTTGCAGCTCAATTCCCTCAACAACGATAAAATATGGAATCAAACAGAGAGGACGAAGAAAAAAGAGAGTACCTTGAGTAGACTTAGAGGTCCGTCGGGGATTTCCCCCAAATTGAAAGGAGCTCTTCAAAATAACGGTGAAAGAAGATTGTCTTTGAAACCCTAAGCCCTGGATTCAATTTTCGTAAATATCCTTAAATTTCCCGATCATCTATTTAAATTGTGCTTTTATTCATTGGATAAACTACATAAATGACCACGTAACTATAGATCAAGTCGCGAAATAACCATCCTTTTCAAATTTGTGACAATAACACCACTGAACATTTAAATGGGTTTAAAACAGCCACATGCCGTTAACATTCAACGGGGTGTTTATGAAACAGTTAAAACTATTGGTATAATTAGGGAACATATCTTTGTAAAGTTACATATTTGCGTTTTTGTCACTATTATTTTTTTTCTTTCATTTTGGTCACTACTTGTATATGATTTGTTTAATTGGAATTTCATTTAATCCAATTTGATCATGATTTTGTTTTTAATTTGTCTAATGCCTTAATTTGAGAATTAACTTTTAAATATTTTATTCTAGTCATGCATTAAATTTGTGGATTAAACCCCCTAAATTTAAAATTAATCAATTTGATTACCAAGATTAACTTTAATTCTTAAATTTTAATTAGTCCTAATTTCAATTTAATTTAATAAATTTATTTTTCCAATCAAATTGTGACACATGTCACAATTTTATGATTATAATTTGAATATTTACTATAATATATATATATATATATGGGTTAGGATCCCTTACACAATGTAAAACGTTTTAATTTTACATAGATTTAGAACCATTAGATGAGCGAAAATAGATGGCTCAGGTTGACTCATTTTTTTCTCAAGTGAATATATTCACATATCCTACTGTTAATCTGAGTCATCTATTTTCACTCATCCAACAGTCATAAACCTGTGTAAAAGAGTTTTTCATTGTGTAACTAGATCCTGCTCCTATATATATATAATTTGAATATTAAATATTTTTAATGATCATATATATAATTATTAGAAAATAAATATGAAAACAATAAATTTAATTTAAAAATATTAAATTCTTAAATCAATTATAAAGAAACTATTAAATTTATTTTAATGATTTAAGTTTTGTCATATTCTCAATTAGTGACCTAGATTTATTTCAATTCTTACTTTTATTTTATTTAAGTGTCGTAAAAAAAACTTACATCTAGACCAATTGAGAATATGAAAACAAATAAAATAAAAGTGAGAACTTACTTATAGACCAATTGAGAATACAATGACACTTAAATCACTAAAATAAATCTAATAATTTATTTATAATTGATTTAAGATTTTAATATTTTAAAACTAAATTTACTATTTTCATATATATTTTTAATGATTATATATATGAAATCATTAAAAAATAATTTAATAGTCAAATTATATATATATATATATATATAGGAGAATGATCTAGTTACACAATGAAAAACTCTTTTACACAAGTTTAGGACTGTTGGATGAATGAAAATAGATGACTCAGATTAACAGTAGGATATGTGAATATATTCACTTGAGAAAAAAATGAGTCCACCTGAACCATCTATTTTCGCTCATCTAATGGTCCTAAATCTATGTAAAATTAAAACGTTTTACATTGTGTAAGGGATCCTAACCCATATATATATATATATATTATAGATAATATTCAAATTATAATCATAAGGTTGTGACATGTGTATGATGTTACATTTCAAATTAAAAAAATTCCATAGTTCACTACTATCAGTCTCGATAATTATATATATTCACTTGACACCCGATCCATACTGACCCCACAGAGCAAAAGCTTCCATAGTTCACTACTATCAGTCTCGATAATTAGCCGTCTCAAACTGAGTTGCCACGTCAACTCCAAGCCTTCGAGGACACCTCACAACTTCTCATCCAAGACCGAGCAAATCACCATAGTTTTGGAGAATCCACTATACCAACGTCCACGATGATTGCTGATAACCTCACCGCAAGCCGTACAATCCGAACGCGAGTTGCGTGCTCCGTCCGTATTAACTTTTTCCAACCCAATTATGGTGGGATCCAGCGAATATCATTCCTCCTCACCACTGGAGCGACTGTCGTAGATAACACTTTATTCCTAGCCTGAGTTGCCTCAAGGACTAACCGACGACTCCGATGGATAACACTTTCGGTCTCCACTTCTTCTGGACTGAAGATAGCTCGATTACGGCACATCCAAATGCACCACAAAACTGAAGGAAACAGTAACACCCAGTCCATCGAAGTCGAAGGGAAATGATCCGACTGTTGGAGGTTTTTACAAATCCAAGCCAATATCGGCATGCTATTGAAATCTTCCAAACTTTCTGGTTTTACAAGTTGTGTCCACGAGACCCTCGCCACCAAACAATCTCGGAAAATATGGGAGAGGCTCTCCGTCAAAGCTCCACATAATCCGCAACTACCATTATCAGTCAAGTGACGCCGCATGCGTTCTACATTCGTCATTAAGTGTCCCTTACAAAGTACCCAAAGAAACATCCGAACCCTCGGTAATCATGGATACTGCTTTATAAGAGACCAAACCTTATAACCCAGAGTGCTCGTAGAAGGCAAACGACTGTTGTAAGCACTAGAAACAGTGAAAACACGGTTCAGTTCCAACGCCCAACCTGGCCTGTCAGCTCCACCAAGAGGCAAGGGCGGCTTCACGGCAGTCAGGTGTAATAAAATTTCATCCGGGAGAACCGGACGAATCTTATCCCATTCCCATTCACCTTGACCCGACACCATGGAGGCGATTGATTCTACCGGTAGGTCACCAGCCGACTGGTCTTTTCTAAACTTCATCAAATGACCCAATTGCCCAACCCAAGAATCCCGTCAAAAATCGAAAGTGTTGCCACTACCCACGTTCCTTGCCAGTCCGGTACAAACATCCGACCAAACCGAGGAGACACCCGCCCAAATCCGAGAGCAAATAGTCCTCTTAAGAGAGGATAGCACGAGCTGGGAAAGCTTATGCTTGCCCCAGACTATCCGACACCACAATCTGTCCGGTGTAGCAACTAGCTGGAAACCCAACTTCATTAAGAAAAAAACATTTTGGTCATAAAGTCGTTTAACACCCAAACCCCCGTCATTTACAGAACTACAAACATCGTCCCAACCAACTAAGTTAATACCTTGGTTACGCTCAGTATGGCCCCAAATGAAATTACGGATCAATTGTTCGATTTCGTCACAAATCCGTTTTGGCAAATAGCATGTTTGCATTGCATAAAACGGGATAGTGGCAAGTACCGACTTCGTCATGACGACACACCCTGCCAAAGATAAATACTCCGCTTTCCAACTTGCCAACCGATCTCAGACCTTTTGAACCAAATATTTATACGTACCACACGACACTCGCTTATGAAGTAATGGTACCTAAGGTATCGACCCAAATCTTCCACCAAACTAAACTGGAACCTATTGCTAAGATACTCTCGAACCGCCCTTTTCACATTTTTGGAAAAGAAGATCATTATCTTTGCTAAACTAATCTTCTCACCAGAACAACTGCAGAGCTTCGACAGGATATGCTTAATGACATCGAGTTGTGTCGGTAGCCAGCCTCCGCGAACAAGACTAAGTCATCCGCAAAGAATAAATGCGAAATCAAAGGTCCGTGTTTGCTTAACCGAATTGGTTTCCCTCTTACTGCATTTCCCGCAATCTGAATAGAGCGAGCCAATCGCTCTATAAATAACACAAACAAATAAGGTGATAATAGATTGCCCTGACAGAGACCTCTGGAAGGCATAAAACTATCAGTCGGTGAGCCATTCCAAATAAACTGAGTTGAAATAGACGAGATACAATACATTATAAAACGACGAAGTTCTCGAGGACATCCAACTTCACCCTGCGTATCATCAATAAAGATCCACTCCAACCGGTCATAAGCTTTTTCAAGATCAATTTTGATCGTCATCCAACCCAATTTACCTTATTTTGGCGCATAGAGTGTATCTCCTCATGTGCAATAATAACATTGTTTGAAATACTCCTCACAGGTGCAAAATTAGTCTGATTTTCAGAGACCCAAAGAGGCATTAACGGTTTCAGTCTATTCATAATGACATTCGTAATAGACTTATAAAAAACCGTACATAAACTAATCGGGCGAAACTGGGAAAATCTTTCCGGATTCGGGCCCTTCGGAATTAAAACTAGCAAGGTTCGATTCAAATCCTACGAAAACGTCCCATTCTCAAATGCCTCACGCACCATTTGGCAAACACTACCCCCAACGACGTCCCAATTTTATTAATAGAACCATGCACGAAAACCATCCACACCAGGTGATTTGGAAGGACACATATCAAAGACCGTTTGACGCACATCCGTGTTCATAATCGGTGCATCAAAAACATTGATGCACTCCCCACTAACAATCAGAAACTGGCCCTGAACAGGATACACAATATTACAAAACCTTTAGCTAGCAAATAGAGCTGAAAAAACGAACTGCACCACGTTTCAGCTCCTTCGAATTCGTACACCACTTTTCATTCTCTAAACGAAGCATATCGATTGTATTCTGTCGTCTTCTCAATTTGGCACTAGTGTGAAAAAACTTTGTATTACGATCCCCGTGAATAAACCAATTACACCTGGATTTCTGCATCCAAAGGCTTTTTTCCTGACTCAGCACAACCTCCAAATCATCCTTAAGTAGAGACTCTAAATCCAACAGAGCCTCCGAATGGCGATGCACTAAAGCTTTTTCAATGCCACAGATACGCGCCAGCAATTGAGCCTTCCATTTACCAATTGACCCAAAAACATCCCTGTCCACAACTCAAGCTTACTTTGCAATTGATGTAAATTAGTACCAATCGCCTCGTCTCACCTCCAAGTGATCCCTAAACTAACGCCAAAGTCTCCATGGTGTTGCCAAGAAAACAGAAAACGGAATAAGAGAGTGCAATGATCCGAACCCAATCTATCCAAGTGAAATACAATCGAATCTTTGAACAAATTATACCAACACACATTCATTAAACATCGGTCCAAATACTGATAAAGAGAACCACGACTCCAAGTGAATTCAGTCCCTTGAAAATGGACTTCCAATAACCCTGTGTCA